ATATACAGGCAGTCCCCGGGTTACGTACAAGATAGGGACTGTAGGTTCGTTCTTAAGTTGAATCTGTATGTAAGTCAGAAGCTGACGCCAGTTCCGACTTACATACAGATTCAACTTAAGAACGAACCTACAGTCCCTATCTTGTACGTAACCCGGGGACTGCCTGTATATGGTTGTGACTATTTTCTTCCACTATTTGATCTGAGGAAGTGGGTCTGGCCCACAAAAGCTCATCATCTGATAAACCATCTTGTTAGTCTTTAAAGTGCTACATAGTCCTGTATTTTGCTTCAGCTACACCAGACTAACACGGCTACATTTCTAGCAATTACAGGGACTTTTGTACACACTTAAAAATCCCATTATAACCAATAAACAGTTCAAATTACAATACAGGTTGAACCTCTCTAGTCCGGCACCCTTGGAACCTTATCATTTCCGAACAAGAGAATTTTCTGGATTGCAGGAGGTCAATATTGTCTAGCAGCATTACCAACACTTCCATTGCTTAATGGACTTTTAGAAGACATTTAGGGGTAAATTAGAGCTAAATAACAGCACAGAACTGTGAAAGCCATGACTGGTGGCTGTAAACAAACTTTATAGGACTGAAGGAAACTTGGCCACACCTATGAAAAATGGACATCTGGCTAACTAAAATCATGATGGACCACAGGTGTCTCTGGACCAGAGAATTCTGGACTAGAGAGGTTCAACCTATATATTAAAATAGCACCTTTGAGAGTATGTGTCAAAATCTTAAGAAGAGCCATCACTTTTTAATTTGTACTAATATTAAATGTTTAATTCTTCAACATAAAAGTGAATATCAGCCACCATTATGTAACCGGTCGGACATGACCCCGTTCCCTCCTCTTCACTGTTGTTTAGCTGACCAGACATACTCCTCTTCCTTTCTTCCCTGACCTTGGCTTTCTTAGTAATAATTTGTGAAGCTTTCTATCATGCCTTTGGTATGCTATCTGTAGTACAATGCAACTTCTTGCACTCAAAACTTTGAGACCTCATTTTGTTTAGAAACCATATTGCTTATGAATATGTATGTAACATATGGAATGTGTATGAGGTGTGAATGAGAAATACCCAACCAAAAAGGCAGTTTAGGATCCATGACCTTTTAAGGCAGACAAAGACCCTGAAAGCAGATAAATTAACTGAAAAGCGGCCAGAAAATCACTCTTCCCCCTCTTGGACAAAATGTAATATCACAGCAGAAACCTGGGACTGGCCCAGAGAAGTAAAGCCTCCTGCAATCTGAAGGGACATTTCTCAAGGAACATCCTGGTCGAGTCTCTGGGAAGCTGATGCCTGGCCAGCACTCCAGCCACCAGTGAAATAAAAAGTAATCTACACCGCACTTGCAGCTTGCCTCCAAACTAACAGCATGAATGTGATGTATGTGTGTGAGTATTACGTAACTCTTAAGAATCTGTGCCAATAAACAACCCCAAAAGCAATACTGCTCTAGCCCACCCTTCGTCCAGGTTAATTCCTCAGAAGGTCTGAGGAAGTGCAACACATTACATTAAATCCAAATAAGTTAAAATTTGGTAATTGTTTTGAACAGACCAAAGACTTAACAATCCATCATGTATCATAGATTTCTATAGTTTACATTGAAGATATACTATGTAGCTTAGCCCAAATTAGCACTAAATAATTAATCCTGTATTCCTTTTTGTTCAAGGAAGAACACTGTATAAATATTTCCACTATCTCTGTCTTGTTTCACTAATAAAATGTATAATTATTGCACAGTGTGATCCTCAATAAAATACTGTGGGACTGACAGGTTGCTTCTGTTAGTAAGATAATTTCTTTGATGTAATCCTTAGCTTAGCCCAAATTAGCACTAAATAATTAATCCTGTATTCCTTTTTGTTCAAGGAAGAACACTGTATAAATATTTCCACTATCTCTGTCTTGTTTCACTAATAAAATGTATAATTATTGCACAGTGTGATCCTCAATAAAATACTGTGGGACTGACAGGTTGCTTCTGTTAGTAAGATAATTTCTTTGATGTAATCCT